TCGAAGAGATAGTCCACCAAGAAAAATAAACGTCAATTCTAACAACTCTCCATAATCTTCCATTGAATGTTTGATTTTTAAATAATTAATTGGAAAAGTAATTACATCAGGACACACGTCACCCACATTTTTTTATACATATTCATTTACAGTTCCTAGTTCAAATTTTTCAGTATTTAGGATTCTCCAATATTGTTGAAACATTTTAAATATTATTACCTCTGAACCAGATGTCGTACATAATTTTGTATCAAAAACACTTTTTAAGGCTAACTCATTATTACTCGTATTATACTTGAAAACTCTATAAAATTATGTTATTTTCTAAAAGTATAGGGATATGCAATTTCAACGATTTTGTAACACTGGTTAATTTTGTTTAATTTTCCTAAAATTTTATATACTGCATTGATAAGTATATTGAAACAAATTTAGAAAATATAACTTATAAAAAAATAATATTAAAAATCGTACCAATAAAGCTAGACCACCCAAATATACGGTACATTCACATTAAATTTCAAATGTTTTGTATGTAAAATATTATGTGAAAACATACGGACGTACACATACTCGGATTAACAATAAGCCTACGGGCTTTAGACAGCAATAAGCAAAAAAAAGTCAACAGTGAAAAAAAATAAGTCATCAAAATTGTTTTCGTAGGTCTTAGGCTGCCTAGGGCTAACTTTTATAACTTTTTATATGACACAAATTTTAACAAATCTTAAGAATAATTCATTTTACTCCATAATATATAAAATTAAATTGTCAAAAACCATAAAAAAATACTTCATTAATAACCTTATTTCTTTATTCCTCCCACCTGGTGGTTGCTCGAAATATTTTTACCTCGAATCACCGATTAACTTTACCAAGAAGTTTCTACCAGAAATTTTGTTCCGATTTACAGTGAAAACATTTTTTTGTCTCATTTTTGATTTTCCCAAGAGTTTTCCTAATAAATGGGAAAACCCGGTAAAATAGGTATACTATTAAACAAGTATTAATATTATTAAAGAAAATATACAATACATATGCAATTATTTTACCATAATATACTGCTATCACTATTAACTCCGCTTTGAATCGTTTTTTCGTTATAGCAATCATTAACCGTTGCGTACAGTCGTACAGATACATTCGATTTCCCCTCTACTACTCTCCCACTTTTTAGTTTTGTTTTTTTATTGTAATTCAGTGAAAAATATTTATAGAGATTTGAAATTAAATCATTATTACGTAAAAAATGGCGCACTGTCTTATAGGCAGAATGATATATCAATGATAATATTAAATGATAAAAAGATCCATCTGATAAAAGTTGGTTGCAACGACCAATACACCGTTGATATGCATTTACTATTAAGGAAACTGGATGCACTATGACATGGAGTGGCATTGTGGTCATAATAATTACAAAAAATAAAATATAAATATATGTGGGACGTGGGTGCATCTAAAATTGTTTGGTTAAGTTGAGTCATAACTGCATGTGCAGTTATCACCAACAAACGCCGTAGCAAAATTATACGTTACTTAGAACATATAGATGAATGACAATTTTAGATTAAAATTCGAGTTTAATCGTAAACATCAAAAAATATAGAATTAAAACTATTTGAAAAATGCAAAACATATAAGGCTGTAACTTTTTTATGTGGCAATTTTTTTTTCGAAAAAAGACAGATACAGTCCATGAAAGTATGTTCTTCTTTAAATTATGTTATTTATGTTTAAACTTTAATTCAAGCCTGAACGACACAATATATGTTCTAAGTAAAAGAAAAAAAGCGTTACAGGCAGGCAGACGGATCTGGCTTTTTATAATATAAGTTTTCGTTCCTATTTTGTTCCTATATAATATAGAGCTGAACTAAAGATTATAAATCCGTGGATGTATAGTATATTATAATATGCATAATGATAATTTAAAATTATCCAAAATATTTTTGAAATAATATATATTTTATATTCAAATGCGTATATTATAGATAATCTGGGCGATTTGTTAGGTAGATCGTCGAGTAAAACGATGAATATGCATGAATTTCCAGGCCCTTCCTCGTTTAATTCGTTGTCTGCGTGGGTAACCGAATAATTCATTTTATATAGGTGTAATGCCACGAACAGTTATAATACCTATACTGCAGCGGAGCTTGTATTTGGCAATTCGTACGCAGAAGATAGAAATAAAGTAAATAATAATGGAATATTATCGTCGCTATTAAGGTTACTTAGGTAATTAGAGTTAGGTATATGCGATCAATAGTAAAATTTTAACCTTCATATTTTACTGGGTGTATCTATAAGATTTTATAATTTCTATGTAATTGCATATAGGAAATTATCAAATCCTGCAGCACATACACCCTGTGTATACTTAAAATGATTTAAGTAAGAAGAAGACAATACATTTTATTTGTAACATTACATGAAGTGAAAAATAAACGACAAAATAGGACGAGAAGGACTGAGCAGCGCAATCATTGATAACTTGAAGAAAACTATAATATCTAAGTTAAGATGAAGATTAGCTACGATTGATAGCGACAAGCTTTAAGACAAAAAAATATACATATTTATTTATAGATGTGAGATCAAATATTAATTTTAATTTTAGAATAAACTATATTTACACAAATTAGTGTCGTGATTTTTAATTGGGAATAAACTAAATATAAATAATTTGCTTGAATAATGGAGAATGGTAAGGGAGGCATTCAGGGATTCAAAGCCCCTCAAGATTTAGAAACGTTGTTTAGTAATGTATAAAAATGTGATCTGTTGAACTTGAAGTTATCTAGTACCCACTAAACAAATATTGGTTCTTCGAAAAACGTGTACAATTAACATTTATACAGTATCCCACGAAGATTCCAAAGGTAATAATAATTGTCTTGATCAGTATTATTTTTACATTTTATGTATATATATATATGTAATATGTGTATATTTTTTTTAAAATAATAACTCAAGTTTTGTGCTATTATTTATCTATTTTAAACTTTTTTAAAAACTAAAAATAGAAAATTATCCCAGAAAGAAATTTTAGTAGTAGGATATTTTAAAACAAAACTTTCTTGTTACAAATATTGTACTAGAATACTGAATTCTGAAAATTCTACAATTTTTTGAAGATTACAAAAATAATAAACAATAAATATTTGTACGACTAAGATTTTGTATTTTTAATTTGAATAAAAACAGAAAATACAGAAAAATCATAATTAGTCATAATTATGAAAAAAAAAAATATTAAAAATATTAAACAAAACAAAAGTTATTGCATTTGTCTTGAATTTAACTATGTCCCGGTCGATCTAAAATAACGATAATATATATTTATTTTTTTTTGCAATATAGGCTTTAAGAGTTGTAAACTTAAAAAAAGACAGACAAACATTACATCATGGGTAGGCCTCGCTGTTAAAGACGAGAAGTTAAAATTTCGGAAAGCTATATACTATATAAAATATATAATAACGATAAACCATTTCAATCAAAAAATATTCTGAGCAAAGCTCCGTAAACTGGTAAGATACTTATAGCGATTGATTCAACCGGAAATCAACAAAAATAAAATCGATGCATCATCATTTGTTATCAATTTATTTTTTTTCCAAGAAAAAACCTATTAGAAATGTAGCAAAAATTATTCAATTCAAGTTCTACCGGCTGCAGAAAAAGACGCGTTTTTATAGTACCGCATGAAAACAAAATTAGAGCGATTTTATTAAACAGTTTTTTCCGAAAAAAAAACGTCACCTAGGTACAATATATTTATAGGTTCTTCCATACACTAAGGATCTAAAAGAAAACTTTTTCATAAAATTACGAGTATTTTAATTGAAACAATATTTTGAAAACATTTTCGTAGGTCTTTGATCAGAAATTCAACACGTGTTTTGTTTTGTGCTCGACTGTCGGTGTTGAACGATATAGCATTGTGAATTTCATTCAAAGCAGAGGGGAGGAGGGAAATTAACATATTTACTCAATTAGGAGAAAGGAAAAATAAGCACATTCTACTGGCAATATTTATGCGAATATCACAATACAGTAATTTATTTTAAAGTGCTTAACCGGAATAAAAATCAGTGCACTAGCAATATTAGTCGAGTATATAGTATGTAATATTATTATAACCAGAGATGAGATGAATAAAATAAAAAACCTTACCAAGATATATTTTAATTTTATTACGATAGGCTATATTAATACGTAAACAAAATACAAAAATTCTACTATCGGGATTTGGCACAGCACTTTTAGGTTTAATGTATAAATGTTTGTCTGCAAAAAACAAAAAAATGTTGGCTCGTGTATCATATGGTAATGTTATGGCAAATATCTGCCTTTTATGATGACCTAATGTCTGTATCAAAAGATTTTTAAGTGGAATTCTTGTCCTCTGGTAAGGAATTTTCTGATCGTCAAACTAAGCAATACAAGGACTTTAAGGCTAATTTTCTCGAGTATCCAGTCAAATGCTTCAATTACAAGCGGGAAAACTTGAGCCTTCGCAAAGAAGTTAATGCCTTGAAGGTGAAAGCTAACAGTTTGGAAAATGGTACATCTGTTGATTAGTTGGAATCTCTTATCTCTCCGATTCTTCACGAAACATGTGCTCGTGATAAATGCCTCTTTAATTTGATTATTCCTAGAATTCCTGAATCCTCTTCTTCATTAACGTCGGAGCGAGTTTCGTATAACATGCTATTCGTTGGGAATTTACTTACACCCCTTGGTGATGCTTTTCCTGCTGGATTAAAACTCATCCAACTTGGTAAACTTCGTTCGGATGTTACTTGACTGTCCAAGCTATTATTAGTAGCAAAAAATCTTCAATCCATCTACTTTCGAAATTTAACGCAACCCAAAAGCTCTTGATGAATTTCGGATAGTTAGCGACAAAATCCAACTGCAGTGCGAGTTAATACGGAAATGTTACCTGGAACTCGAACGGAAAACTAATTGTTGTGAATCCAGGTTACGTGTCATTTTTCAAGATGTATTTCTCGAGATCGGAGCAGCCCAGTCAAAAAACCGAAGAGCTCGCAAGTGCCTTGTTCCAAATCATCCTTAGCTGCTTCATCTTGTAACGGCACCCTGTCTGGATACTTCCAAAACTGCTGTAGTCTCAGTACAAAACTTCTCAACATTAATTGTAATTCTTTAGCTTTAAATTGTATTTTTATTGTAATAACCGAAACTTGGTTAATAGATAAACTTTTCGAACTCTGAGTTAAAGTAGCCAAAATTTCAAATACAGAGTAGGCCGAAAATAATGTAGAAGAAATAAACATAAACTTCTCACTGTATTGATGCAATGATTACATTTCATGAAATTATGTTTACGTTTTTAAAAAATAAAAATAAAAAAATATTGCGGTGACTTACCTATCATAAATTACCTATTGTATTATTCCTATCGAACCGAAAAAATAATACGTTTTATTGCCTAGCCGAAAAAATTATGTTATGCAGAATCTTTGCTCACTTATTATCATTATTATTATTATTATTATTATTATTATTATTATGATAATTATATTGGAGTTTTTTAAAGTATTTTTCCAAGCTGGCGGGTGCCTGGCAGAAAATGAATTAATTCACTTCTGTGTAAGATTATATTAAAATATTTGGAACTTTGGCGTTTTCGTTTTTATATAATTAAATATTCAAGAATATTTTATTAATTCAACGCGGTGGTGACAGATCTGCGGTAAAATTGTATTCCTACATTTCCCTCGAAATCTGTCTCCACATTTAAGATTCTGAACGTTTCATTATGATTTTTTTAACAACTTTTGTATCATAAATTTTGATCCGATTATTAACTTCAGAGGTCGTTTCTAGTAGACGATTATGTATACAGTTTTGATGTATATCGGGAAGGGCATATATTTCGATTTTTCGTCTATAATTTTCTTAATAATTTAAGAAAAAATAATATACGATTTCTGTTATTTTCGGTTTTGTTTATTTTTTTTTTCACATAATTCAGTTTAAAAAAAAAAAAAATTAGAACTTTGCATTCTCACCGAATACTTAAATATATGTATTATTATCGCTTCTTTCTAAACGTGGTAAAATTCCAAAATCACTCGTCGCGTACAAGTATAAGTTAAATTGCTCCCCTATGAACTACCCTTTTAGATGTACAAAGTGTGTATGCGAATTATTTCGTACATTACTGTGGCGGCAAAATACTATATACTTACGTAAAAACGCAGTAAATCCGTATATAAAATGAATTCAATAAGATGAACTTGATTAATATTATACGACACGGCGGAGTTCCTCGGAGTTCTCTTAAATAATACGCATTGCCACTCGTACGGTCAAAAAAATACAAACAGAATAAATAATAAATAAAAATAAAACCCATCACGACGAAGAAACGGGCTATTGATATTTATTTGAGATTGTATGTCGTCTCAGCGGCGGCGAACAACAAATCATTTGTCGTCTTATATTTATATATATATATATATATATAACCAATGTTTATTTTCACTGTATATTATATACACTCTACAGAGTGGTTCTTTTATCACTAATCAGCGATTTTCTTGGAAGATTTCAAGTAAATTCCACTTTTGTTTTCCTATTGTCATATAAATTTGTTTAAACTTTGTTTTAACTCTATTTTCAAACGTTCACCTTTATTCCTTATACTTTAAATGAGTATTTTTATTATTCAACACATCCACTCGCGGATTTTCAATAAATTAATAAAAATATATGATAAATTTGCTGATAATGATAACGATAATAATTACAGATTAGATTATTAGAATTTAAACCGTATAGGAATAGGAGAAGGATAATAAATTGATCATAATAACGATAAAAAATTACATAGGTAATTATTTTATCTAAATTCTCAGCGATTATAATAACTTTTTAGATTTCGAATCAACTTTGTTTTTTGTCGAATTTGCATAGAGTTTGTATAGACTATTCAACACCATATTTTAGCATATAATATAAATATTATACACATTAATACATTTTTTTCCCCTACTTTTGGACATTTCTAGTCTGTTACTATGGACCAAATGAGTTCAAACTTGGTAATAGAAGTTGTTTTGTCGGAGGTTTGAAATGATAATAGTTAAGTTGAATTTCAACATGAATTTAACAATGATATTTTAAGTGAAGCGTGTTTTTTTTAAGGTTTTTACACTACTAAAGACCCTTCATAGTTCATATGCATGGCGTTGATAACAATGATTTATCTTATGGGAGTTTCAACTTTTTGTCCCACCCCTAAAATTTTTTTCGAAAGTGATATTATGTATGTATTCCATTCAGTTATTTTGCAACGAATATTTCTATAATCTAAAATAAAAGGGGAACAATTCGACTAGTCATTAAGACGTGTATGGATCAAGGCTTACACACAAAATTAAATTGGGAAAGGAAGTCAAATGATTAGCAAAATATCACCAAACCATCAAATCGCAAATCCACCTTAATATTAATTTACTCAATCAATTTCTTTGCGATTTCTAAAATAACATATTAGTATTTTTCAGTTACAACTGGATCGGGGACTGTTACCCAGAACCCTCCAGTCTGCGCCACTCATCACGGGACTTTTTCCAGTCGTGTTATATATAATCGTTTTAAATGATCTCATTTACTGTATTATTATCAACATATTACCGTTACACCGAAACAAATTAAATGCATAACACAACGGCGTATTCATTTTTCCGATACATTTTTTCGAACGTAATATTCGTTGTAGGTCCTAATGGCAAAATATACACCCTGTATATACAGAGTATACATTCCGGCATAATTTTTTTGTTTTTTCGTCACCCTCCGAGCCACCGGACCAGAATATAGCCGACAACGATCTTCGCCGCCACCGCCGTCGTTATCTTTCTCCCCGTCATAATAATATGTTATTATTTTGTCATTTCGGGTGACGCGCCCGAACGTTTTAGGCATTTTCACTGCACCCGATGTCCGGCAATATGGTTCCACTTTTGACCCTTCCCGTCACGAAACACTGCGCCCCACTGCCACTGCCATCAACAACATATTATAATCCTACTCCTCCGACATTAAACCCAAAAGTTACGAGGATTTTTTCCCTTTTTAGATTTTATTTATTTCGTTTTTCAGGGGTTTTTTTTTTATTATTTGTAAAGAGTACTTATAAAACATTTATTTACGCCTTATTTTATATATATATTAGGGTGTTTCAGAATTTATTTTTATCAAATTGACTTCTTTTTTTGATATTGTGTCCTTTGTTAAGTTATAAAACTAAATAATGTTTCCCAATTTTTTTCAGATTTTTTTTTTAGATTTGTTAAGATCGCGAGCATTGTATTTAGGAAAAAATTTTATTTTTTTTGTTTTTTATTTTTTATGCGTGTAAATAATATTTTTTAAGGAGAGATCGTAAGATCAAAAATTATCAGAAGAAAAAAAATAAATATACTAATATTTTTTTCAAATTAAAAATCAAAATTTTACCTCTTGTTTGGATAGATGTTTGTCATCCCTACACACTTAAACTACTGCACGGATTAAGCTAAAACTTCGCATAGGTGTAGTTCTATAAACCATGAATAACTTATAGCCTACTTTTTCTGCGAAATCCCCTCTAAAAAAATCTCACACAGGGTTATTGGTATTTTTGATAATATTTTTGTTGATTTATGGATTGCCTTGGTGACACGGTTAAAAAAAAACAGTTATAATTAATTAATTTGGTTGCCACAAGCAAGTAAATACATTATTAGAATATTAATTAATGGGTAAAAATTTGATAAGCGTGGAAACGGGGAGACACATTTTTAAAAACATTTTTTCGTTCAATACTGGCACAGGGGAGCAAGTTATTGTATGTTTATAACAGGTGAGCACTTTTAAAATACTGTCACTGCAGAACATAACTATTTACTTAAAATGTCACGGGGATAATATAATTATTAGGGTTCTTTTGACGGCTATGAAATCGTGTTTTTATTCTAATAAATAAATGTAGGTACGTAGGTAGTAAACGAAAATAATTATCGGATGTATAGATTTTTTTCTGCAAAAACTTTTCGCTAAATTGTCTTCAATAATATTACCGATTGGACACAAGCCGTAGGATTCTTCAAACTTTTCAACTCGGTCGTCACGTAAAAGAGGTTTTATATAGAAAGTCCGTGAGTACCGCAAACAGAATAAAATAGCCCAACGTGGAAATTCAATACATCGATATAACTTTTAAAAAAAGCTAATACTGCTGACGTGTTTGCCACTGTTGTAGGTGGGAAGATGAGAAACTTAGATTAAGGAGATATTTAATTTATATCTGTACGCAACGATAAATCATTGCTAACTTAAACGATTCTGAGCAAAGTTCGGTTAGGTTAGGAACATGTTTTAATATTTCGAGTTTTTTCAACGTATACTGTAAAAATAACTAAATGAATAAAACTAAAAAAAAAAATTAAATTAGCTTGAAAATATCGAATTCCTATAAATTACCAGAATATAAGTAAATTTAAGTGTATATTAGTACTAACATTTTAAGTATTTTGTTTTAATTACAATAAAAAAAATGGCGGACATACTACACACGTGGATCACGATTATAGTTACTGTTTTAGGTGAAAAGTTGTGATGCTAGGATATAGTTGAGAATTTAATGTACATCTGTGAGCAACAATAAGCTATTGCTAAAGAAAAAACGAATCTGAGCGGAGTTCAGTTGGTAGTGTTGCTTTGTCATCAATATATATTATGTCATATTATGATGGCAATAAAATGATTACAATTTGCGTTTCCATGACAACAATGATTATTTAAAAAAGATTAAAATAATAAAAAACTTAAAAATAACAAAATATAAATAAAAACGGTTGCCAATGAAAATCTTATTTTTAAAACTTGCAGCCTTTATGAGGTTTTCTCATTATATTGAATATTTATGAGAATTTGAATGACCACTCTAAAGTACCACCTACAGAACATTTCTTTCGGAAAAGGTGCTACCCTTTAATTGATAATTTGAGTAAGCTTTGTGGTAGAAAAAGTATTCACATAAAAAACAAATATCTTTGTAAAGCCCATACATTTTTCGCCAAGCTTAGAATCTAAAATAGAATAAAAATCAAGGAATTTGTTATTGGTGCTAATTTCCCCGATTTTTCCCAATTATAAAAAAAATTACGAGGAAAATCAAAAAATAACCTCCCCAATGCACCAACTAGCAATTCTATGCTGAGCTCAGAATTTAAAATTTAATAAGATTTCTAAAATTTTTTTCAATTCATATGTCTAGTACTGA